TATTTTAATCTTGCTTTAATTGCCTTTTTTAATATTATTATATGTTTGATTGCTTTTGTGCAATTATTTGTGTTTTTAGTCGACTTGTGTGTTTTGTTCTTTTTTTATATAATTTGTGAACTGCCTTTGGTCCCTCGCTGGGAGAAAGGACATGCAAACATAAAATAAAGAAATGAATAACGAAATAAAATAAAGGCTGCTTTCATCAAGACATTTGACTAAACAGTAGAGATGGGCACAAACCGGTTTGTGATGGTTCGTGACTTATGGCTACCCATAAACCAGAAACCATGAATAATTACAAATCCTCTAAAAATGAGCCAATTTGCAATGTGTTTTTTCAGGTTTGTGCCATGGGAGGGGAACTATCTGGTCCTGCCGCTGCCACCGTGAGCTGACAGAACCTTCAGAACCTAGACGGGCGCATCTTCAGAACCTAGATGGGCGCATGTACAGAAGCAGTGAGCCTGGCTTTCCTTCCAGGAGCCTTCTGCTGCCCCTGTGCATGCGCAGAGGCAGTGGGTCCTGCTTCCCTGCCAACAGCCTTCTGCTGCCTCTGCATGGCGGCAGCAGAGGAGGCCAAGGCGGCAGGACCAAGTGGCAGGACCAGGTAGGTGGAGGCGACAGATGCAGCAGGAAGGGGTGGATGGGCTATTCCATTTTGCCAAAGCAAAATGAAGCCACAAATTTATTTATTTATTTATTTATTTTTTTGCTTCGGAAAAATGAACCCAGGTGATGATGAACCAAACCACGCACCAGCCCGGTTCAGAGTTTTTTTCTGGTTCATGCTTCGGTCAGTGTCCATCTCTACTAACCAGTACTGAAACAAATTAGCACTTGGAAAAAGTAGCTTTCTTGAAATAAAATTGCCAGAATGACCCATTCTACAAGGCCAGATTCCTCGCCGATTTTTAACTGCAATTTTAGCCATAACAAATTACTATTTGAGGATCTTAAAATGAATTACATGATGAATTAAATTTTTTAAGAGTACTGTTCTAAGCTCTGCAAAAACACGTAGGCAAGAATTCCATTAGTTAACACCCAACGGCATCACTCCACTTACACAACCACAAATTAAGAAGTTCACCTAGCACTTCCTACCGTATATCAGTCATGTCTCTCAGGGTGCAGTTGAAAATACTTTTAATAATCACTGTGGCAAGTTGCCACTGACACTTATGCCAATAGAGTTTCGCCAGCATAGCTATGCAGTAGCATTTTGGCCAAATGGGTGTTCTAAAATGTCCTGTCCTCAACAGTCCTGATCAGTTCTTACAAACTCAAGCCTGAGGGAGTCAATCCATCTTGTATTTGCTCCTCCTCTTTTCCCATTGTGGTCAACCTTTCCCAGCATTATTGTCTTTTCTGTAGAACATGTCAAATGGTATATTTAGACAATCCGAGCTTCAAAAATGGGATCTTCAATTAAAGCAGGTATGGACAAATTGTGGCCCAGAAGGATGGAAGCTGCTGTCCAACCACATCCAGAGAGCGACAGTTTGTACAACTGAGAATTAAGGCTTTCAAAGAGAAGCAGAAAATGCTTCAGACCTTCCATGGGTACCGCCTCTCTGAGCAGACAACTGAGATCTACGTGGACAAATAATCTAATTTAGTACAAGGCCGATTTCTTTCTTCGTTTCCCTCGGCTGTAGTTATGAGTACTTCTCTTCATGGCCAGCAGACATCTGTAGAGCTACATGGAGAGTAACTAGCACTCCATCATAAGTGTAGGGCTGAACATCAGTCACTTAGGCTGCGCAACATGATGGAGAGATGTTTGTACGTGTCTCACATCCATATTGCCTTTGCTCCCTTGAAAGGCTGGCAAGACGGGGGCTTACAGGGGGGAGAAGGGCCTGCAAATATTACCCACTTGTCAACAGACAACTGTGACATCTTGACGTCTCATTTCCACACATTCTCAGCACCAGTATATTACGGTACTCATTGAGCCAAAATGGGAGGAGAGAATTATCTGCCGCAGGATTTATTAGAGTTGATGGAGTGTAGGCAGATTTCTCAATAGCCTTTAAAACATCGTGATGCTCCACAGTATATTTTTAATGGAAACAAATGCATGCAATCTGCTCCGGCTTTTCGCCAAGCCATCCGCCAAAGACAACGTGCCGTAAATCAACTTCGCTTTGCAGCTTTCTCTTTGCCCAGGACAGCTTTAAAAGGACAATGTCAAAGCTGGGCAGCAAAAGAGAATTCAAGTTTCCTGCAGGAATTTACCCTTTGAGATGTTTTCATAGAAAGTGGGTGGGCTGCAGATTGGGGTGGGGGGAGAGAAGCTACACAAAGCAATGGCACTAAACAGAGATCTACCTCTTGCTTAGCAAGGTGGTGCCCAGAATGTTTGAGTCCACCTCTTGTCTCACACAACACTATGAGAAAACGATAGCCATGGACAAATGGAACCGTATTTCCAGATTCCAAATCAATTGTTCATATAACTAAAATTAAAAATATATCCAGCTAGTTCAGATAAATAGTGAAGAGAATGAGGATATTTCCACATGTCATCCATAGCAACTCAATACACAGATGGATTTGGGTGGAGGAGGAATGGAAAGTCAACATTGGGTGCAATTTCTGATGGACACAGAGTGGAGTTGCATTATCCCACGGCACTTAGAAGGGGGTCATCCTATACATGCTGTGTTGGGAATCTGAATGAGAAAACATCTCCATTTTAAGGTGCACTAAAACTAACAATTGTTAAAATATCTCTCTCTCTCTATCTCTCTGTCTATCTCTAAACTAACAATTGTTAAAATCTCTCTCTCTCTCTCTCTCTCTCTCTCTCTCTCTCTCACACACACACACACACACACACACACACACACATTTTGTTTACTTATATCACTATCTATTTATTAAATTCAAAGCTGGAGAATGGTACTTTTTGTTCCAAAATCCACCAGCCAGCAAGGAGGAAAGAACAAAATTTAATTTAGTCCCAGTTCTGATTACATTTGTCTTTTTAAAGTTTTAATTCATTAGAAATGTGACAAAACCAAGAAGTATACACCGCTCACCCATTAACAAGAATGAAGATTTTTTAAGCAATACAATTACACTCTAAAACACTGTCATCAATTACAACACTCCTTGGCAAAGACAAACCAATACTTACATCAATAAGTAGACATTAACATTTTTACACAAGAATCCGCTGGAAAGTCCAGCAGAAAATTCTGGCTACATTTATCCCTTCTCTGTGTATTAAAAGATGATACTCATAGTAGTTGATAAGAACAATGTGCAAACTGAAGAAAGAACAAATACAGTTGTGTCTTAGCACCGCAAGAAAGGCATCCCCTGAAAATTTCAAAAGTTGGGTAGTTTCAGGGGTGTAACCATCTGAGACACACACCCCATGAACCACTCCTGAACATGCTGTTAAATCAAGACATTGTGTAGTACACACCTGTCTAAAGATTCTCACTGGAGAGTTGTGGGCAGCCAACCACTATCTCAAGTGGCAGCAAAGATTTATGGGTTGCTGTTGATTAAATAAAGAGAGATACAGAGAAGAAACAAAAATCTCCCTAAAATAATCATAATAAGAGTGTGTAACATTCTTCTACACTCTCTGAAGAAAAATTCTGCCTTAGCCGTCTATGAAGAAAAATTATGTGTGAGTCACAGAGACCACGAAGAACAAAAAGTCAGTCTTCAGAAAAGTAGTTTTTAAAAAACTCCATGAAATATTGAAAAAAAAGCGCCCAGTTTTATATTTGAATGCCCTGCTCCTATTCAGGACTGCAGTGGCATGTGGTGTTAGTTTTTTAATTTATTGTCCTGCTGTCATCCTTTGACAACAAGGGAGACTGAAAAGTCCACCTGCCCCCATCCGTCAGTCATCCAGAAGCCCGAATACACCCTGCCACTTTTAAAGGGAAATTTTTTTTGGCACGTATGGTTTTACATAGCTAATCTTTTTTTTTAACAGCATGACCAAGCTGATAAAAATCGTTTTTCTTTTTGTAAAAAACCAACCCTATACCACCATTCAGAAACCATTTACATCCCCAAATTAGGGCTTTAGCAAGATTAACGGATTCGGGTGGCTTCTCCAAAAGAACCGTTCTTAACGTTCGCTTCTTCAACCAAGCATAAAAGTACAAGTGAATGAAAAATGAAAAATTTAATGAGGTTTCTGCGATTGCAAGCAAATATTTGATCACAGGACTGGAAATAAATTATATGCCTGTCTCTGCATGCACACCTCATTATTAAAATGACACAATGGCCAGAATCCTATTGATTATTTAAGTCAATGTTAAGTGCAAGGGAGAAATTACAACGTTGTGTTGCTGCTAGTTCAAAAGTCATCACATGTATTCCTCATTATGGGATAGGCAGGTGATGAGGGAAAGAAGCAGCCGCTTCTTCACTATTTGCTGGTGCAGTTTATGCCGCTGAGCTCGTGTTGTGTAACGAAACAACAGAATTCCAGCCGATACTAACAACAGAAGTTTTGTAACATTAAAACCCTATGAATAATATTCTTCTGATGTTCGCTCTACTATGGTCAACAGACTTTACTGCCTCATAAGCGTGTTTAGGGCTGCAGCCAAAGTTTTGTTTTGTTTTTAACGATTGCATATTAGCACTTCATAACAAATGCAACAGGAATAAAACTGTGTTAAACAGGTAACAGCATAGCAAACCCTTTCATGGTGTTTCAATTACAGGAAGAAAAGTAAAAGCAAATTTGGTGAAATCTACAAACCAATTCTAATTACGCACCCATCTGTTTTAGTCAAATCAGGCCTAAATGTTAAAAAAAAATGTTGAGGGAACTGACCCCCCACACCTCCAGAGCCAGGATCTTTCTGGACCCTTCTGTAATTTGAGTGCTATAGATTCATTCTTGGGTGACTCGGAAATTGCTTCAAGGGCAACGCACCTTCCACCCAATAAAATGAAAACTAATTCAAGGCTATGAAGGCATGTAACAAATAACATTAAATCTGACCTACCTCAAATGATGAGCCACGATAGACACATACACCTGAAAGAGCAGAATGGAAACTGTGTTAGAAAGACATAAAACCAATATGGTAAATTAGAAAGTGCTGTTTAAAAAGGGGGAGGAAAAGAAAAAAAATGATAAACCAGGGAGTTAATGGCCCTTAAGACAAAGTAGCCCATTTGGTACAAACAGCACAGTTTCCTTTTCTATCGGAAGAAAAGGGAGATTCAAGCTCATGAGTCTGAACGTCAGGGCCTGGACGTTTTTGGGCAGCCATTTTACCTGTGCAGTATCCGTCAGTCACTGGGGCAAGCAACAGACAGCAGGGTGACCCGGCACGTTTGGTTAGAAAAAAGGCTTGCAGAGCCCCAGTAGGTCAGAGCCAATCAGACTTAACAGCAAAGTTTACTTCTTACCAAGTTCAAGAATATGCAGAAACTGGCCATCAACTATGACCCTCTGTGAGAAGTAGGGAGGACCAACTGGTGTACCGTCCCCTCCGATCCCAAAACCCGAAGGGACAAACAAGGAGACCCCTGCTCTAATGGACCCAAGCTCCAACTGAATTTCTACAAATCTAAAATCATAGTTTTCAGCAAATCATGGAAGCCCTTTTCCTGGTCTTTCAACAATAATCCTATCCAGCAGGTTAGAGAGTTCAAGGACCTGGATGTCTTTTTTCACTACAGACACACCTGGTCAATTCATCGGCGAAGCCTTCAGCACAGGCTATCTTGCGCTTCCACCATACTTGGGGCAATTCGTACATCCCAGCTGCGCTTCATGCCAAGTCTGTAGTACAGATTCTTTATGGTGTCCCCATTTGGATGCCTGCATTTCACAGCTCGATGGCAAGGGTCCAATCAATGTTTCTGTATAAAATCTTTGGCCTGCCTCGCTGTGTTTCTTATCTGACCCTATGCCTTGAAACTGGCCAGAATAGGCTTGAGGGCCTGGCTTGGCTCAGATTTTTCAAATACTGGATCAGAACCTGTTTGTTTGTTTGTTTGTTTGTTTTTCTTGGCCCAGGACATCCTGTTTCAAGCACGGCTCTCTGACAATGTATTTCCAAAGGATCTGGTCGTATTCATCAAGAAAATCAAGATTCTTGGGTTGTCACCAGATCTGTTGGGCTCAATACCCCCATCCCAGATATTCCACATAATCAAAAATAGAGTCTTGGATATTGAGGGGCAAACCCTGCATATGGCTGCACTAAAGATTCGCTCTCCACTCTGCTTCCAGCTTCCCCTCTCCCATGTCAGGAGACCAGATTATCTTTATTTTTCAGATCGTCCCCAGGACCACTGAATATTCACCCTTGCTAGGTGCAATGTTGTGCCTTCCAACTTGGTGCAGGGCAGATTTAGGGGATTACCCATAGAGTTGGGTGTGTGCCCTTGTGGCCAGGGAGTGGTTGAATCATCGCAGCACATGCTGTTGTATTGTATGTGGTATCAGGACATCCGCCTGCAATACTTGACCCCCATCCTTTTCTCCTACTCTGGCTGGGACGACCCGAATAAAATCCGGCACCTGCTGAGTGGCACTCATAAGGAACCCAGACAACAGCCAGATATATCCATTCCCACTCTGGCTGGGACGACCCGGATAAAATCCAGCACCTGCTGAGTGGCACAGCCAGACATATCCATTCCATCATGCAGAGGTGTCGCATTATGCTGCCACACACCATTGAGCCCAAACAATGTCATCTGGGTATCTCCTGGCATATATGCTTTTTAACATTTTACCGCCTCTCACTCTCTTGTACTGTATGCCAATAAAGGTTCTGAAACTGTTAAAAAACCTCTAATGGACCTGAGGCAGATTTGAAATCAGAAACACTGGAAAGCCCGGGAAGAGGCCAATCATTGGAGAAGTCGGCTTTGATGGGAAAGGAGGAGGATAAAGACGGAGGACTGGAGACTGAAGGGGCAGTTGCTATAAAATGCTGGGCAAGTGAGGAGGAGCAGAGGAAGGGAGAAGAAGATCAGGTGGAGATTATAAAAGAAGACCCATGGACTGGTGAATGGGTTACCTTTACAGTTCCCAAGGAAGTTGAACAGCAAAAAGTATGGAAACCCTGTTACTGGGGAGAAACAGCAAATAAAGAAAGAAGGGAACATGAGGGTTTTAAGAGAGAATCACCCAATAGAGAGAACCGAGCATGCCTAACTTCCCTTGGGAGCAGTCTTCGGTGGAGACCGTTCCCCTCACAAATGCAACAATGTCCCGGGCAAGAGACTCAGGGAGTGGGATATAGGCTGGGAGTTTCACCATTCAATCCCGGCATGGAATCAGCTATTACCTGTTTCCAAGTTCTGTTAAACCCCCAGATGGGGTGTTGATGTGTTAAAGAAAGGACATTCAACCCCAAGAGACAATATCTCAGTGACAGAATTAGGACAAACAGAAGCTGCACGTTTCTACAATATTTAATAAACCCACTGAATTGACTAGAGAGATGGCGTTGACAAGGGAAAGGGTCATGCCAGATCCTCACACCCTCAGCTCAGCTCACAGTCAATGGTGGCTCATATGCCTGGCAAACGGGGGTACCTCACTTGGCCAGCGGTAGTTGATTTCAACTGTACCTGGTGGGACAGAAGGCACCACAGAAGTGAGTGGAGCCCAGGTTGCCAACCAGAGCCAAGGGGCAAAGTGGGCATTCATCACAAAGATGGGCAAGCAAACAAGCATTCACACAAGCATGCAGCAGAAGGGGAACATAGCTGGCTGGCAGGGAGTGAGAAAGCTAGAACTCTGCACCGCTTGTCCGAATGCACCAGCTTCCACTGCACACCAACATTTCATGGAGGGCTCTAGCCATTCCCTCTCTTGTTTAGTTCCCTGTCTTCTCCTAGCATTAAAGAATGAAGAACTAATGTGGCATCTTCCACTAAGAATTGAGCCAGGGGGCATGACAACAGGCAATAGTGATAGTGGCAGAAGTTCCACTCAGATAAGGGGGCTCATTCATTCATTCATTCATTCATTCATTCATTCATTCATTCATTCCTGTCCCAACTTTCTTTTTAAAAGGTGGCTTCTATCATTAAAAAGACAATATTTAAATGCTAAAAGACTTTTCTTTTTTAAAAGAACCCAAGGTGGCTTCCATCATTAAAAAGACAATATTTAAATGCTAAAAGAAAACGTTTAAAGAAAACATGGAGTAAAACTGTATTCATTACGTGCAATGAACAAGGAACACATTTTAATGTGTTTCTGAGACACTGTTATTTTTACAGCAATGAATGTTTTACAAAACATGGAGTAAAATTGTATGCATTGGGTGCAATGAACAAGGAACACATTTTTATGTGTTTCTGAGATACTGTTATTTTTACAGCAATGAATGTTTTAACAACAATATCTGTGGGGGGGAACTTTTGCCAGTTAACTCAGAATCTTCAAAAATGACCCACAAAAAAAACTAAAGAATAACTAACTGCAGAACCACAGAAATGTGGAGTTGGATGCAGATCCTGGGAATTACCAACTTCAAGCCACTGCTAATGTGGAATTCAGTAACACTGACAGAAGGTCCTTCAAACTCTGCTTTCAACATGGTAATGCAGGAGAGCCCCTCATCTTCTGAAGTTGTCTGCTCAACAGCATCATAAAATTCCTCCATTGTTTAGTCAAAATCTCCTTCCTTGAATCCATTGGTTCAGGTTCTCCTCTCCAGAGCGGCAGAAAGCAAGCTTGCTCCACCTCCCATGTGACCACCCATCATATATTTGAAGAAAGCTATCATAAGATTTCTCAGTTTCCCAGATTAAGCCTACCAAGTCCCTTTCATTGTTCCTGCACAGAACAGTTTCCAATCCCTCCGCCATCTTGCTTGCCTAAGGAGTACACATTAACACTCCAACCCTTTTAATTAAAACTTGAGAGGCTTATCTGGCGTCAGAGAAGGAATAGTGAAAACTCACAAGTTGCCAGGTGGCTCTCCCTGGCATCAACACCACCTCTGACATTCAGACATAAGCAGGATTTTTTTATTGTTGTTTTAGCAGGGGTAGAATTGCTAGTTGCTGAAACAAACACAACAAGGGGTGTGGTAACTTGGAAACCTACCAATTTTTATTTGGCACAAACTTTTGTGGCTTGCAGGCCTTCCCCCCCCCGAGGCATCTGACTGCAAACCCCAAAATAGTATGCTAAATAATACTGGTTAAGCCTTTAAGGTTCCACAAAATTCTAGGTTGTTCTCATTTTTACTTTTTTATTTATTTATTTAGGCAACTGCTCTGAATTTTTAAACATTCACCTTTCCCAAATGAAGGATCAGGATGGGAAATCAAACCTTGCTTTTCTAGGTCAGGAAGAATATACTCTTTCTGGGGAAAATCTTGCACATGTGCATGTTTTTGGAAGGTTAACATTATTGGAAAAAAAGAGAGAAAGGTACCTATAAAAAAAAACCACCTCAGGGAACTGCAGAAATGTCAAAACAGGAATCCAGTCCTTCGTTCTAGGGAAAGCAACAGCTATTTCATTTTGGAGACACAAACGGACCTAGAGGCTGTATCGTGGTGTGCAAGTCTGAAAGACGTGAGCCTGGCGAGGCAAGTAACAGATTTGTGGTCAAGCTGCCGTTGGTGGCCCAAAGGAAGCAACCGACAGCCGTTTCTCTCTACCACACCTGCCAGACTGTAAATAAAAGTGTCAAGGCCACTAGCTGTGCAGGGAGCTGGCTTCCTCTTTTCAAGACCCGATGGAAACATAGACAGAGTCACTGGCTTTGAACAGGGACCTGTGAACATGCCCTGTGTGTTTAGTCGTTTAGTCGTGATTGGCTTTGAATAGGGACCTGTGAACATGCCCTAGGAAAGGGAAAAAATGAGAATAGAAAGGAATAGAGAGCTACAGGCTAAATTCGCCTTTTAAAATGGGGAGATGAAGAAATGCGTTCCAATGACAAGGCAGGAGGATTCTCCCTAAGGATTCCTGACAGGAAGAGATGCTTGACAATGCAATGGACGGCCTCCGAGGGCCGTGGACTCGCCTTCATTTATAAATTTAAGGTT